GCAGATTGCATCATTATCTTCACGCTGAATTGAATGGTCACCACTCATTATCTTGCTATAATACATAACCATCATATCTTACTCTGGTAAACCTTTTCGATGATGTGATGTGTTCGCCTCAACGCAGCTTTCCACTACCTCTCACCAGGATCCTTCAATTTGAGAGCACGTGGGCGTGAGGTTTGAGCGGTCTTTTAGTAAGAGTTGGTTGAAGGTTTTAGTACTGGAAGTCAGCATATTGTATCACCATCTTACTAGAATTCATAGGCATCACATCGGTTATTTTCCAACGATATGTGTTCGTCTCAACTCATATTTCCACTGCTTCACTTTTGAACCTTATTGTTGTGAGTACGTGGTTGTTAAAACACTTCTAGCAGATCTGTTTGGTGCATTGTGGGATGACACTACAGGATGGTCGAAGCGAGAATTGGATAATCTTTACACTTCTCTCGAAATGTGTGTACATTCTTTTGTTTTTAGGTTGACCATTTGTGAGTTGTTCTTCTTTCCACCAGCTTTGACCTTGGTTGACTAGAAATATGCAACTAAGCAAAAATGGAGAGGTGGATTGAGCACTACAACAGTTTCCAAGAGATACTGCGTGTTGAGGAAGATGACTTCTCGTTTTCTGCTTGCTTGGTTCGAGCTTTTGGGTTTACTACTAACATGGTAGCCACTTCTTTTGAATCCTAAGGTACAGTTTTCAAATGGGTTCGTTGTTGGAAAAACACTGGAATAATTGGTCACATTTGAAAGAACTGAAGTGAATATGATGCTTGGTGTTGGATAGAGTGTTACGACTACAATTTCTGTTTTGTTCGGTTTGGTGTATGGCACTTTTTACGACATGGTACGAGAGTTTTTCACGGACAATACTGGTTGATAGAAAAGTCTGGCGAACTTGTATTTGGAGGATCGATCCTACGATATGGGAAATTGTACACCTTTGAGAAATTACTACTTGCTTATCGAGACAACAAATGTGAGGTCGATACTGCGGGCTGCAGACTGTGATATCGATAACTTATTTGTTGGGTTCATTAAGCAAGTGGGCGGGAAGACTCGTCTATGACAGTTGTTACGGATTTTTTATTCTTGGAGCTCGACCTAAAAACACATCTGTTCTTAGAGTACGTGACGTTTCGAATTCTTGGGCAAGACCCACTTTCTTTTTCCAGTTTTGGTTTTCAGTAAAAGTACTTTAACTTCCGTTACTAGTTAATTGTTTTGACGTTACAAATGTTTTTGGAAAAATATTTCTGTTTTCATTTTTAAGTTGATTCGAATTTCTGATATATATGTTAGTACATATCTATTTTGACGTTATCTGGCCTTAAATTATTTTGTGTTTTTAACTTTTTATTTTATTAAAGTATGTTTTCTACTTTTACACTGATGAGGAAAGAAAGTATGAGTTTGGAGGCATGATAGAGGATTTTGCAACCCGCTCGCGACGGTCTGGCATATTTTCTTTGATGCACCCATTCTGACTTGATTTCTCTTAATACATATATTTTTCTTCCTATTTTCGAGTATTTCAGTTTAGTAAATGATTTTAAATTTCGTGGACGAAATTCTTTTAAGGGGGGTAGATTGAAACACCCCAACCCCCTTTTATATTTTAAAAATAGTTTTAGTTCTTAAATGGTGAGCCACGTGGGGACCACCTTATGATTTTTTTTTTTGTTTTTCCCCGGTTTCTTTCTCTTCTCTTCTCCAACTCTCCCGTGTCTCTCTCGGACCTCGTCTCTCTCCCTCGTTGCAACTCCTTTTCCCTGAGCAACACACACACAACCACGCCATCTGCTGAGGACATCACCATCAAAACCTCTGCAGTTTTCTCTCTCCCGTTGTAGAAAGGACGACGAAATCCCAAGAGCCTCCGGCGAGCATCGCCCCTTTCGAGGCCATTTCCGGCCAAACCACGGTGAGTTGGCCAGCGTGCAGGGTATCAATCTCTTCATCTCGTCGAGTAGTACAACTTTCTTTTTGTTTCACCTAATTTCGTTGAGTATTGAAGAAGTTATACTCATTTGAATCTTACCTAGTTTCCGGTGAGTCCGACAGCTTTCGAGGCGTTTTCTGGCAATACCACGGTGAGTTAGATATCGTACGAGGTACCATTCTCTTCATCTCTTCAAGAACTACAACTTTCGTTCTTGCTTCACTTGATTTCATTAAGTTTGACAAAGTTATGGCCGTTTAAAGGTTGTGCAGTTTCCGGCCGATTTCTGGCTTTCTCTCCCATTGGGTCCGGTGACCCACCAAACCCAAGGCCTTTAGGCCTTCCCTGCCGAACCCAACCTTTTTTGGTTGTGAGGCCTTTGGGCCGTGAGTGTGTTGTGTGTGATGTAGGCCTTACCTTACATGGGCCTGTGTGTGTGTGTTTTGGGCTAGGTGTGTGTGTGTGGGTTGTATGGTGTATGTGTGTGTGTGTGTGTGTGTGTGTGTGTGTGTGTGTGTGTGTGTGTGTCTGTGTCTGTGCATGTGTGGTGTGTGTGCGTGTGTTGTGCATGTGCTGTGCATGTGGTGTGTGCGCGTGTGTTGTTCATGTGTGGTGTGTATGTATGTGCCGTGTGGGTGTGTGTTTGTGGGCCGGTGTGTGTGTGAGTGTGGGTTTGGGTTTGGGGTTAAGCCCAAACCACCCTTTTTCACCCTAACCCTTTTTTAACCAAAAACCTTAGGACCCTAAACCCAAAACCCAATATATCCTAATCCTATTTAACCTAAACCCTAATCCGGATTCAAGCCTAAAACTCATTTGACCTAGTTTGACCGTTAACCCCTGATCAACATTGACTTTAGGGTTGACTTTTCGAGTTTTCGTCCGGGACCCTTTTTAGGGTAATTCGACGTCTTGAACCTATTTCCAATGTCCGTTTTCCAAAATTCAATTGCTATTATATAGTTTTATTTATTGGACTCTTTATGTGCTTAGGGACAATTATTGTGGCTTTTGCATATTCGTTAGCTGCGCGACTTTTCGATGACAAAGTACTGTGAGTGGACCCCTTCTAAAATTACATGATTTTATGGTTTAATTTCATAAATGAATAGCATGCCTTACGAGTTTATGAATTGATTTTATGTTAATCAGGTTTATTGAAATATTGATTATCGTCTCGTTTTTGTGAGGAATTAATTGTTAGCCTATATTGAGTTATATTTTAATATATCGTATTTTCTATAAAAACCATGAATTGGTAGACTATCTGATGGATAACGATAGGATGCTAGAACATGTTTTAGAAACCCCTCTTTATAGTATAGACGATGGATGACTTTATACTATGAAGTGGTTATTTATGAGAGGCGTAACTATTTGTGCGTACCTAGTAGACACTATGCCGCCTGGGGCGAGGATCTGGTGTTGGTAGTTAGGCCGAGCGAAATAATCCCTAGATACGGGCTGAGGGACACGGAGCAGGCATTGGGCCGGGAGTTGGTAATCTTTGGCTACGGACGCAAAGACCACGGAGCAGGCATTGGGCCATGAGTTATATTATTATTCAGTGATCTTACTAGCAGCACATCGCGCTTACGAAACGATCTATGAGATGATACACGCGATGATTTATATGATGTTTTCCGCGTTATACCTGTCGAGATATTTTATGGCATGCTAGAGTTTCAGAAAAACCTATCACTTATTATGTTAGTAGTTTTCATTATATATAAACTTGGGGGTTAGTATGTTCATAACTGTTTTTGTATTATGTGTATATATGAACTTGATCCACTCACTCTTGTTTTGCACCCCCTTTAGGATTTAGAATTGAGGCATACGATCCCGACGTCAACGCTTTGGCATTGGCATATTCGAGTCCTCTCGGTGTAGGACCCTCATCCTTTTATTTATTCAATTTTATAGTAATTATTTTAAAGCTCTAGTTAGTTGTATGCTCTGAACACGTTCTTAATTTGTTAATTCTTTGAATTTTAAATTCATAACCCTTATTTATTTTTTATTCTTAGCTTTTGTATCAATTAATGGCTTTCGTCATCCTCGGGTGTCGGCCAGCACGTGTCTATCCTGGTATTCGAGGAATATCAAGGTCGGGGCGTGTCATAATACGTACCTAGATTAAATTTATATAACGTACCAATAACGTACCAAATGATTGGTACGTTATATTTAATATATATGTTTGGTATGTTATATTTAATATATGTGCATGTTATATTTCATAATTGTATGTTAATAGGATGTTTATGTGTTTTTAGAATTTAAAACAACGAATTATTTGAATAAGAAAAATTCATTTTGAACGAATTATGATAAGATAAGATAGGAAGTTTGTGGTGATTTTTGAATATTTGTGATATTATTTTCTGAATTAGTTGGTTAATTAAATACAATAAAAATCATAATTTTTAATTAAAAATTAGTAGAATAATGTTTGATCAAAAGTTTAAAAGTTATAGATGTTTGATTATAAAAAATTCAAATTTAAGGCATCTATGTCAAAATACCCCAAAAAAAAAAATCACAAAAATGAAAAACCAAAACAAAAGAAACCCAGAGAAAGACGAATAAGGAAGACCAAGTGCTCAGAGATTCTAGATCATTTTGAAACCCATACCAAACGAAAATAAAAAACTGATCCATCAAATAGAGAAAAAATCACTGATCCAGCAAATAGAAAAGAAAAAAAAATCACAAACTGAAGGATACAAGACAGGGAGAGAAAACGAAAAAAAAAGAAGAAAAGAATTGAAAATTGCAGGAAGAGGAAGACGATGAAGATGAAATGAGAAAACACCCATGAGAAAGATGATGCAATCAGGTTTGAGCAGGAGTGGTTCTGCTACTTTTAGGTCTGAATCTCCAGCAGCAAACGCGAGTCGATGAAGCTGATGCGAGAGGGGTGCGAGACATGTTTTTCAATTTTGAAGCTAACTAATAATACCAAGCTTTTTAAGCGTACTAACTAGCAGGTATGAGGCGTACCAATTAACTTGGACCGGATTCGTTAATCCGGCGACTATTTAGTACACAAGTCTCTAAACCCTATTTTTAATCCTATCCGATGCTTAATACAGAGTGCCAAACGAGGTCTTGGCGTAGTAAACAGATAGATGATCAAGGTACATGTAAAATGTAAAATCAACTTGAAGCAACTGCAAATAACGCGGTTATTAAATATGGTAGTTTTGTTCGGAGATAACTTGTGCATTGTTGCAAATCATTGACCCGTCTGTTGACTTGTTCCTGTAATTGCGGTTGCTCCTCCTCCTCCTCCTCCTTGAGCGGCTGCCCCTCCCCCTCCTTCTCGTCCCCCCCCTTAGATTTGGAATTTTTACCTTGATGAATTCAAGAGCAGAGGGAAGATCTTCTTCAAACGAGTATGCTCGTCCTCCTGGTCCTTCAGCGACTCCCTCTGTTACTAGTTTTCCCTTCAAGAGTCCAAGAGCAGAGGGAAGATCTTCGAACCAGGTGGGAAACACGTCGTTGTAGGTCAGCCAAGCTGTTAAAAGACCTCCTTCCTTATAAATATTTTGCTCTAGCGATCTCAGTATATATTTGACGATGTACTCTTGGGAGCTGACTTGAAGTTGATTAAACGACTCGATGAATCTTCGGAGTCTGAAATCCTCCTCATTCTCTCCGCAGAGTTTCTCTATTGTGTCACCTTCTTCAGCTTCACCGAGAAGTACTTCAATGGAGTGGATTCCTGATTTGTTGGTCTTGAACCAAATAACAGACAAACCAAAGTAAAATTCAGCATATCGCGAGGAGAAATAATTGTGTGATACTGAAATACCATCGTGTTTGGCTTTATTGATCTCTCGGTTACCGGATGTTTGCAGCATACTTGTGAGATCCCATTTCGCAACTTCATTCTGATCCCAGAGGGAAGGATGCGTAGTACAGAGCTTTATAAATCTTCTGACCCTGAAATCCTCCTCACTTTCTTCGGAGAGTTTCTCGATTATGACATCTTTGGTATACTTGCTTGAATAGTACGTTTCCATTAACCAATCAAACAATTGTTCTATCAGATTTTTCCGACCGTTGGAGCCTAGTTGCCTGAACAAAAGAGTTAAGTCATGCAACTTTCTTTCACAGAAGAACTTGTTTGAAACTTCGAAAAGAATAGCAGCTCGGGTTCTTAACCCGACTTTGTGAACTTGGCTTGCGAACGTTCTCATTCTGAAATCTCCCTCACTTTCTTCCACCAGTCTTTTGATGATCTCAAACTTTCCACCAGCTTCACTAGAGATTTCTTCAATCTTCCGTTGTTGATCAATGGGGGACCGTAGGCTAAATCCAAAAGTTAAGAGATAGGATAGTATTCCATCAATATCACGGACAAGTCTAGTCCAATGGTGAGATTCACGCAGTTCCTCTACAACCATGTCAATCAAATACACTTGAATACCAAAGGGAAGTGCTTTCGTGTGCAGAAGCTCTGAGAATTTTCTGAGTCTGAAATCCTGCTCCTTGTCCTGACTACTGACGCTTTGTCCCTTGAACCAAACAATTGAGAAACCAAAGAAAAACTCATCAAAACGGAATTGCCAATCCGAACTAGTTTCCTCTTTGGCTGTCCTCTGTTTATCTTTTCGTTTCTTTTTATGTTCTTCCATGCAGGGGACAAGAAGCTTATGACCATAGTCGGTATAATCTCTCGACAGCTGTGAAAATCTTCCTAGTATGGCATCTTCATCACTGGTTTCGTCATAATCAGCTGTGACATGAACAATTTTACCAATCACTTCTTGTTGTTCCTTGAAATCTAGTTGAGTACTGAACCAAGAAACCAGTTCGCCACATTGCCCTTCGCGCTTGAATTTCTTTACAACTTTGGAAAGGAAAATATCATGCTCAGAGAAGGGAAGTTTCTTGAATAGCTCTGTGAATGTTCTGACTCTCAAATCCTCCTCGGTTTCTTCGGGAAGTTGCTCGAGCACTGGAACACCTTGATGAACCAGTTTATTACGTACTTCTTCCGTCTCCTGTAGTTGATCACTAGCAGATAGTTGGCTGAATCCAAAAATTGAAAGGCGCAAAAGTAGTTCAGCAGCATCAACGTCATCAGTAGACATTGCTAAATCAACCTGAAGGCAGAAGTCCTACAAGCTCCGGTTTCTTATCCTTATGTTCTGTTAAAAACATCAATGTCAATTTCGTCAGAAGGATGCTGATTTAAGGTCTATTTTTCTCAGCTTGTACTTGTAAAATGTAAAAATTTTGAAACGAAATAGAAACGAAGTTTATTTTACTGATCTGTTCTAATTCCTACTCTATTTTTTTCCTGAATTTGAACTTTAATTGCCATTTCTCCTAACCCTCAAATGCATCAACTAATTTATTTAAGAAAAACAACAAACCGAAAAATGTTTTTTAAGGAAACGTGCCCCGTGATCTTGATTCAGCTTTCAAATGTTTCTGCAGAGAGATTCAACACTCCTTATTCGAAACCAATCCGAAGTAGTGTTCTAAATTCTAGCACCGTTCAGATTAGAGGAGGTTTTAAGACATCAATTATTAACTTTTGTTTTGTTTTATTTTGAGTATTATAAATAGAAGATTTTTACTTGATGTGTATTTAATACGGGTAAAAAAGTTACACTGTGCTATTAAATATCATGCTTGTTTCTATAAAAACAAATCTTTATCAACGTGAAGAGACCCTCCCGAAAAATTAGGAGAAAAAGCGGTCCATAGTGATCATGCTATACATATATTTCTTAAGTGGTAACAATACATATATGTTTGTGTGTGTGTCTGTAAATGCAGGCCTTTTAACAAGAGGGATCCTTATAATAGAGATACTCTTTTAATCGTTGGATTGACTTCAATGAAATTGTGTGGTTGAGATTAAATTACAGGTCATACAATCTCAACCATACAATTTTATTAAAGTCAAATTCAACGGTCAAGAGGGTGTCCCCATTTTTTTTCTCTCTTGTTAAAGGATTCCTATATATATGTATGTGTACGTGTATATATATAATTTGTGTACCTATACATATGTACATAAATATATCCCCCCATCCCCAAATTTAACTAATGACAAAAAAAAAATCTTATTAATTTTTAGATTTTGATCCAAGTCTCTAAGGCCATCTCCAACCGAAGGGTCCAGAGGGCCGAAAATAGCTCGAAAACCATCTCCAATCGAAGGCTAGGCCAGATGGCTCTGGAATCTGGGAGGGCCCCACGGAATCGGAGAGGGCTAGAGGGCTGGCTGCATGCAGCTAGCCAGCCAGCCCGGGGCTGGCCATTTTTTTTTTTAATGTTTTGTTATTTTTGTCGGTTATAACCGACAGAAATACATGCTATTATTTAATATAGATGTATTACTGTCGGTTATAACCGACAGTAATACATCTATATTATAACTGACAGTAATACATTTATACTAAATACTAGCATGTATTCCTGTCGGTTATAACGGACAGGATTTCTTAACAAAAAATTCAAATGCAACGGCTAGTAGCCGTTGCATTTGATTTTTTTTTTTTTACAGTTTTATTATTATTTTTTATTTACAAAAGTTTTCATATAACTTCTATTTTTTACCATAACTTCTATTTCACAAAATTATTTCATATTTTTTTTAAATTCTATTTTTTTCCTATAACTTCTATTTCTCAAAATTTGTTTCATATTTTTTTTAAATTCTATTTTTTTCCTATAACTTCTATTTCACAAAATTTGTTTCATATTTTTTTTAAATTCTATTTTTTTTTCCTATAACTTCCTAAACCATTATATAACATTAAACAATAAGAAACAACATTAAACAATAAGAATGAAACAACATTAAACAATAAGAAACAACATTAAATAACATTAACCAACATAAAAATTATACAACATGAAACTTAAACAACATTTTTAAAAACATTTAAAAACATAAATTATGTTTGGCCCTATGACCATTTTGGCCCGCTGTTGGAGACGGTTTTTTGTGAAAGGGCTAAAACAAGCTCTCTGGCCCTCTGGTCCTCGGTTGGAGACGGAGGCGAATATGGCACTGTACTGTTTATTAAAATATTAATATCTTGAAGAATCTTGGAGGGCCAGATGGCTAAAGAGCCATCTGGCCAGCCATCGATTGGAGATGGCCTACCATTAATATAAATCTACATTTCATAATTTTTTAAAATAAAAATTAATAATTAATTTAGAATTTTAATACTCACATCTTTATTAAACTCCTAACTAATTTTTAATCCAAAACATTTCTAAAATAAATTAAAAATTAGAATAAGTTTGTACCCGTTAGCTTTTTAAAAAATATTTTCAATTTTTTATTCTTATAATTTTTTTCAAAATTTTAATCTTAAAATGTACCAATTCTTAAATATACTAATTTGTTATATGTAAAATGTACCATTTTTTTTATATAAAATCTATTCAATTTTTTTTCTAATCTATTTTTAAACTTATATGGTTACATTCTTTTTCTTTGACTTGAGAATATATCCATATCAAGTTTTATCGAAGAAATTTACCAATACTATTAAGCTTAATATCTTTTTCTTTTCTTTTTTGTGGTTTTGAAGAATGTATCCATGTTTTGGTAGAATAATTTGTTTTGTTAATTTTAATGAATGTACCCATATTTATATATATACACAATAATATAATTTATATTTTAATATTTTTAGTCCTACAAATTATGAGTTTTTATTTAAAATTTCATTACCATAAACAACTATAAATTTTAATTTTTAATTTAAAAAATATAGTAACATAAATAAAAATAAATTATTACTTTAATTTTAGAGATTTTAATAAAAAATTAAAAATCAATAAGATTTCAGTAAAAAAAAATATTGATAGATAAAAAGAAATTTTAACGAAAAGCTCACAATGTTGTTCACTCTAACAAAAAATCATATTTTTACACTAAAAAGTCAAATTGATGTTATTTACTTTACCCTTTATTTTACCTTTATCATTAAAAATCAAAGTTTTCAAACCTTTTTCATTACTTTCCTTAGATAAAACTGTATCCAAAGTCTCCCGAAAAAACAAATGGAAGAGTTTGTAAGAAGTACCGGAGTGCTAGTTCTTGATTCAACCTTCAATAGCCGAATGCAATTTCTTCCGTGTATTTGATTTTGATACAGGAGTTGAAGGGAGTGCAGTCACACAATAGCCATAAGATTACTAATCCCGTCTCCAAAGACGATCGCACGTTGCAAGTTCATGAACGCTGCAAGTCTGCAAGCCTGAAACCCAGCCGTAACACTGCCTAAATCTCAACACCAAAGTTTGAAAGAAAAAAAAATGCAAAACGATAACAACAACAATCCCAATAGAAAATTCTTCCTTATTCCCGAAAATTCTCAGAAAGTTTTCCTTTTTCCCAGAAAATTCCGGAGAGAAATGGATTGAGAAGGAGAGAGAGTAGCTTTGGGACGAAAAGAAATGGAGAGACGGAGAGGGAGGAGAGAGTAGCTTTGAGGACGATTTTGCGCAGGAAAAATGATCTTGAAGGTTATTTTGCAGGACAAGAGATGGAGAAGAGGAGTTATGGGTGCCGAAACTAAAGGAAAAAAAGAAGAAACTCTCGAGAGACAGTATAAAGGAAGGTTGAATAAAAAAATTAAAATAATATTGAACTAATAAAGGGGTCGGCACCATAGGGTGTTCTAGACACTTTAGGGGAAAAGAAAAAGGCAAAAGTTTGAATAAAATATTATTAGAAGTGTATTAAATAATATAATACTAAAGTTGTTAAATTATTTATTTTTAGTCTCATTAAGTCAGACCCTTTTTTTTTTGTGATTACTGGAAATGTATAATAACTAGGGCAAAGATGTCAAAAGTACATAATGAGGCCTACAATGAGGTAAGCAACAGAAATAAACCGGGTAATGCAAGGGGATGAAGGAGCCAGACGCAACAAGCATAGCTAAAGGCGTCACCCTTCCATTACCACAACTAAATTAAGGAGGGTAGGAAAGTCCATCATTACATAATACATGAACCAGTGACGATGGGGGCCTATCGACCCAAGTAAAGTCACACAACTCCACATTTCTTCTCGACCCCAAGAGGTTCGCCACCATATTGGCTGATCTTGGAGTCCAAGACCAGCGACAGTCTTGAAAGGATTCCCCAAGCAACTTGCACCTCGTCAGCGCTGGAAAAGCCTCCCTCCCAAAGCAACACCCAACTCGTAACCATGGTGGATCGCAACCGCTTCAGCTGCAGCAGCCGAAGGAGCATCAATACTACTTCTCCTAGCAGCAATAAAGGTGCCAGAAGAGTCCCGAGCAACAACCCCAGTATATCCTGTGTTCGTAGCATTCACCCAACTAGCATCGACATTGAACTTTACATACTAAGTCAAACCCGTTTAGTTTTGTCTAAACTAATCCAATTTAATCCTTGAAATTAGTCTAATTTACAATAATCTGATGCAATCAACGCACTTATAAAGAAAGAAAATTGGACCTTCAGTCGAATTGTTTCTTTTACAATAAAACTACTTCTAATAGATTCCCTTATGAACAAAAGTGTTTTCTAGAAAAGCAATCTTTAACTGCCCAACTCAATCTTTTGGTGGTGAAATCAAATCAAATAATCTATACAAGCTTGACGCCTCGTTGTTCTTGGTTGATCCCCCAATTTACATACTTTTCCGCGTACCTTGTGAAAGGAGCTTCTTTTACAATAAAACTACTTCTACTAGATTCCCTTATGAACAAAAGTGTTTTCCATAAAAGCAATCTTTAATTGCCCAACTCAATCTTTTGGTGGTGAAATCAAATCAAATAATCTTTACAAGCTTGACACCTCGTTGTTCTTGGTTGATCCCCCAATTTACATACTTTTCTGCATACTTTGTGAAAGGAGCTTCTTTTACAATCTAATAGATTCCCTTATGAACAAAAGTGTTTTCCAGAAAAGCAATCTTTAACCGCCCAACTCAATCTTTTGGTGGTGAAATCAAATCAAATAATCTATACAAGCTTGACATCTCGTTGTTCTTGGTTGATCCCCCAATTTACATACTTTTCCGCATACTTTGTGAAAGGAGCTTCTTTTACAATCTAATAGATTCCCTTATGAACAAAAGTGTTTTCCAGAAAAGCAATCTTTAACTGCCCAACTCAATCTTTTGGTGGTGAAATCATATCAAATAATCTATACAAGCTTGACACCTCGTTGTTTGTTGGTTGATCCCCCAATTTACATACTTTTCCGCATACTTTGTGAAAGGAGCTTCTTTTACAATAAAACTACTTCTACTAGATTCCCTTATGAACACAAGTGTTTTTCATAAAAGCAATCTTTAACTGCCCAACTCAATCTTTTGGTGGTGAAATCAAATCAAATAGTCTATACAAGCTTGACACCTCGTTGTTCTTGGGTTAATGTTTATTCTTCTGTTCATACGCCGGAGCGTATTTTTTGTCAGTTCCGGTCCATCAGCATAAGTTTCTCGCTAGGTTTCAACTTTCGAGTTTAAGCTTAGAACTCGAGAGTAGATCTAAAAGCTAAACTTTCAGGATTATTTTGTGCCCTAAAAGAAGCAACATTTCCATGGTGGGATCAAATCAGAAAAGGTCACTAAATATTGGTGTCAGCTGAAGTAATTGGCACCAAAAAAATGTAACAGGCCAGTTTACCGGCCTATACGGGTGGGCGACCGGTGGCACATATCAAAAGACGGTTGGATCTCCTTTCTTGTAATTACGTGGTGTTAGTAATGGATTTACCTTTCTTCAAAAAATAAAAATAAAAAAGATTAGATTTACATGGAAAATAAACAAGTAACAATGTTCAAACGTTTCAACAACTTACATAACTTTCTTAAAAAGAACAAATCGCAGATACGTCGGCAATGACCGATCCAACAGCTAGAGGACAATGCTTTGGAATATGATGGTAAGGCCTATCCCCCAGATTTTGGGGGACGGAAATACACAAAACAAGCAAGGACGACTTGAAAAGCGGTAAGTAGTAGGAGCACAACAGCAGCTACAGCTGATAAGAAAGACCACGGAGTATGGAAGTACTCGAATCTGAAACTCGCCCATCGTACATGCCAAATATTTCTATGGTACTCATTCATATCCTTGAACAATTCGCATAGATAACTCTCATCAATATCAAAGGGCACGTCTTTTCCAAAGTTTTTGAAGAAATCAGCAGCCTCCTCATTACTTCCGAGGCGATTCTCAATAATCGTTTTGTCGCAGAGGAATGAGACATCTGCAGGAGTGCGGATGAGGCAACTCATGAATGCAGCTAGGGGTGGGTTCGGTACGGTTACCGTACCAAACCCCGTGTACCAATTACCATACCAAACTTTCGGTTTGGTAAAATCTATTACTGTTACCGTACCAAACTTTCGGTATACCGAAGTTCGGTATTGCCAAAAGTTCGGTTGGCATGGTATGGCAATGGTAATTGCCACAAAATTTGTTTTTGTTTTGGGACAAAATTTGTTTTTGTTTTTTTAACCCAATTCAAGGGCAAAACTTTTTTTTTGTACATTTATCTCATGCATTATAGATTAAATTCATCTATTATTCATCATTCACAATTCACACATATAATAATTCAAATGATGCATCAAGATTCATCATGAAAATTAAGCTTACAATCCAAATAGAAGTTACGAATCAAAACAAATAGAAGTTAACAATCCAAATAGAAATTTAAAGTTTCAAACCAAATGAAAATTGGAAATAAACTTCAAAAATGAGAATTCATTGATCAGTTATTCAAGCTTAAGATGTCGAAGCTTTTGGAGGAGGCATTGAACTTGTAGAAGATTGAGTTTGTGTCAAGCCTACATTACAAACAAAGAAAACATATTAATTAGTAGCAAGAAGAATTAAAGTTGAAAACCATTTAATAACAAATTTACTAAAAAAATTAAAGCATATATTTCTTGTTTTCTCTTCTTCCATTTCCTTGTAAAATTGAAGCATATCTTCCGTTGGTTCCTTGTAGAAGTTTACTTCATATGCCCTAAGCCAACCACTAGTATGCACTAGTGCCTCCATTATTTTAGGAGTCAAGGATACCCTAAAGGGTCCACAATCCTCCTCCCTAGGCTAAATGCATTTTCACTAGCAAAAGTAGCAGTGGGGGTTACAAAGATATTTTGTCTATTTGTGAAAGAATTATGAACTTTTTTGTGTTTGATTTCCACAATTTCAAGAGATCAAAGTCACCAACAACAATGCTAATATAAGTAGGGTTTTATTTTCAAATTATTGGAATATTATAAATTTGTGTTATATAGTTATCTATTATATAATTTATAAATTATATATTATATTGTATTATCGGTATGGTACGGTAATACCGTGGTAATAGTATCCATTACTAATACCGTACCATGAAATTTCGGTACGGTACAATACCGTACCATTACCGATTGGTACGAAAAATTTGACACAAAATCGGTATGGTACGGTTGGCAATTCGGTTGGCACGGCAATTTGGCAAAAAAATCCACCCCTAAATGCAGCATAAGTGGTGACATGCTTGAGCAATGAAAGTAGTGGCATTGTTCAAATGCTACAAAATTGATGAATAAAACAGTGCGTAGATCGTCTAGTACTATGTGTGGAATTTCGAGCACTCCTTTGCAAAATCTTATATCCAAGATGCTCATCGCATCCCTTGTCTTGAACTTAATTCCAGCAAGATGAAGCTTTTCGGCTGATTGAATGAATTCAATCGATGCAGAGGTATTTCCCTTCCTTGTCTTGGACTTAATTCCTGCTACAAACTTTTTCACTGCCTTCCTTGTTCCTTGTAGAGGCTTTTTCGCAGATCGGATCAATTGAACTAATGGACGAATATTTCTAGCTGGACCTTGAGGTGACTGATCATAAGGTTTAGGAATAAAACTTAAGCGAAGTAAGTCGAGTAAATGTTTTTCTTCAGTAGTACTGATATCAGTTCTTTCTACTGCATGATTAAAGAATTCCAAAGCAAGTTTGGCAAGGGATGACTCACTATCTTCTCTTGATGCTTTTGATTCATCGAATAATTTTTGAAGAACGAAGAAAGGAATTTGGTTTTCCAAACGCAAAAGATCGCGTATGAGGTTAGGAAATACCCATGCCAAGTTAAAGATGGGATCATCTGGATCACTTGGTGACAAGCTTGCAAGATCATCTGGATCACTTGGTGACTTCCTTCCAACTTTGCAAAAGAGCTCAACAGTAAACAAGCCATCCAACACCATTATCTCAACTAGGTCATGACTGCTTAAATCGATTGTCTCCGAATAGCACCCTCGTATGCTTTCTTCCATTGATGCTACAACCTGCCTGTAGTGATCAAGTCTCCGGCCATTTGATGGTGTTCGCGCAAGTAGATCACGAAGAAATCTCCGTTTATGCTGCTGCATCATCTCCACACGCGTGTCGCCATAGTGATAAGGACCGATGGAAACTATATGAGGTTGGTAGGCCTTCTCATTTATTTCCAAGAGATGTTGAGGCATTCTGAATATGCAAACAAGAGCTGTTTCCAGCTGATGGGTGCAGCAGCCATTTCGGTTCCTCAACTCTTCGATCCAATGATGTTGTCGTCTGAATATGGTTCACCGCTGGAATTGGAATGACCGCGTGATCTCTTCCTCCATTAGCCATTGGTTGCTGGTACTGGGTAACTGGGTTTGGATTTGAACAGTAGAACAGGCAAGGAGGAGCACAAGCAATCGTATTTTGGGTGGGATCTGTTGAGAGAAGCAGCGGACAGAGGTATGGTTTGGGATTGAGGTAATTTAAAAAAAAAGAAACTAATGAAAAGGGCTTGAAAACTTTGAGTTATAATGATAAGGATAAAATAAAGGGTAAAGTGAATAGTACTAGGATTGATTTTTTAGTGTAAAAATATGGTTTTTCGTTAAAGTGAACAGTATATGGTGCTTTTCGTTAAAGTTCCCTTTAAAAAAAAGTTGGTACGAAAAAAAGCTGAGAGAGTTTTTGATGTTTGGTAAACATTTTAAATCAGCTTTATTTCAAAGTTTCAAATGAAAAAAAGCTAAGGGGAGTATTCAATTGAGATTTTGAGGGATTTTAATTCTTTTAATGAATCTAAGGGTATTAAATCAGGATTTTAAAAGATTATCTAAAATTCAAGGTGTATTCAATTAGAATTTTAAGATAGTTTATTAAAATCTTTAGAAATCCAAGTGTATTCAATTAGGATTTTAAAGAAGTTTATAACATTCAAGATGTATTTAATTATAAATTGATTTTAAAGAATTTGAGAAAGTTGAGGAATTAGAAGTAATTGAAGAGATTTCATGGTGTATTTTAAGCATCTACAAATCTCACATCTTCCCATGAGATTTCGAGGGAATTGAATCAAAATTTTATATGGAATCTCTACAAATTAATTAAACTCTATAAAAATCCATTGATTTATAAATCCATTAAAATCTCTCACATTCTCGATTGAATACACCCCTTAAAATCCTAAAGCTACAAAAAACAGTTTCAAAAAACCAGCTTATTTCGAGAAAGAGTAAACTGTCATTTAACCCCCTAAACTATCACGTGAGTTTCAATTTCCCCCCTGAACTATTTTTTCAGCCAATTGACCCCCTAAACTATGTTAAAGTGGCCAATTAACCCCCTACTGTTAAGTATCTTTAACTCCATCCAATGTTGAATGCACCCCATATTAAAATTTAATATTAAATGACTTATTTACTTCACTATGCAATGACAATTTTGACCATATTAGGTTTTAAAAAAAAATTATAAATACACCCCAAATCACTTTTAGCGTATTATTTATCTTCTCAACTATCAAAACTCTCTCATCCTCCATTGTTGAACAAAACTCTAACCAATGAAACTACAAACATGTTGATTGAGAAAAATTGTTTTTGACGAATGAAACACGAAATCGATGTTTTTGAAGCTTCACATAAGGTAAGACTTCACATTTTTCATTGTTTTAGTGATTTAGATGACATCGATAATTATTTAATCTTGTGTTTGCTGCATTATTTTTCAATATGAACCCTAAAAGATGAATATGAATATGAATATATAAGTTTAAATAATGCAGCAAACGCAAGATTAAATAATTATCGATGCGATTTTTGTTGTTAGATTTGATTATATTCGATCTAAGCTGTTGGATTCAATAAATATATAAATATAAAACTAAAAAAAATAATTTGAACTTGGACAATTGGATTAACCAACGGCCCATTTAAATCCAGCCGTTGGATCGAAAAAAGTAGTCGTTGGGCTACATAAATGGCTGACACTCGGGGGGACAACCCTCATGTGGGTGGGCTTGGCTGGAAGGGACGCCTGGCACGTGCAACGCGTGGACGACTGGATTATGGATATTAAATTTAAGTTGTTGTAGTTTTTAAATTTAAGTTGTTGTTTTTAAATTTAATTTGTTGTTTTTAAATTTAAGTTGTTGAAGTTTTTAAATTTAAATAATAAATTATATTTGGCCCTATGACTATTTGGCTCTCGGTTAAAGACGGTTTTTTATGACAGGGCTAAAACGAGCCCTATGACCCTTTGGCCCTCAGTTGGAGATAGAGGCAAATATGATCATATACTATTCATTAAAATATTAATTTCTTGAATGATCAGGGGGTTAAAACGAGCCATCTAACCAACCTTCGGTTGGAAATTGCCTTAGAACTCATTAATTTGTAAGCAGATTGGTAATCTTAGTATATTGGAATTCTGTACCAAACCAGACATAATTTTGAAAATCTTAACGTCTGGCCCATCCAAGGTCGTATCAACTTTTCGTGCCACATGCTTAAACCTTACCATGTGACTAACACATGAATGAGTGCCAGGGGGATGCTTCCTTGCAGTTTCTTATTCAGTCGAGTTTTCTACCTTTACTCTTTATAAGTTCTCGTAAGAAACTGCAATCCCTTCCACTCTTGTATCAAAATAAAAAACACGGAAGAAACTGCATTGGGCGCTATTGAAGGCTGATCAAGAACTAAAGCTAGCCCATCGGGAGGATCACAAATTGAACGGAGGAGGACGAGAGGGTCCACAGATCGGAGGAGGAGCAGAACCCATCGGTCGTTGGAGCTCCGACGAGTCTCCTTCCCCTTCTCTTTGATTGTTTTTTTAATTAATCATTTAATTATTTAATTGTTGGGTTTATAATTGTTTTTAATTGAATAAAAGTTCTGCTTAATTTAAATAATGTAGCTGATCATATGATGTCACTTAAGTTGATATATAATTATGGTGCAATTACTTAGTGAAAATAACATTATTGCTTATATAATGTTTGATTTACCATTTTTATCGGCTAATGTTTGCACATCTTTCAGGAAAAAGTTGCGACTGGGGATTCATTTCTGCGATTTCAATGTTCGTATGTCCGAAACCCTCTCCTGAGTCCAGTAGCTCTACTGATACTGCTGATGTTGCTGAATTACTCATGAATCTTTCAATCTTCGGGTTCAGACAACTCTCTGCCAGTGGTCAACATGAGAAGACGAAAGAAATGTACAACAAGGTTGTTGAAGATGTCATTGTGGAGCAACTCCCGGAAGAAAGTGAAGAGGATTTGAGAGTCAGAACATTCACTGAGCTATTCAGGAAACTTCCCTTCCCTGACCAGAATCATTTCTTGTCCACAATTATAAAGAAATTCAAGCGCGAGCGGCAAATTGGCGAGTTGGTTTCTTGGTTCAGTACTCAACTAGATGCCAGTGATCAACAAGAGCTGATTGGAGAATTGGTTCATGTTAAAGCTGATGACGAGACAATCACCAATGAGGATTTGGTTCAAAGGACAAAGCTCCTATGGCCAGTGGCGGCTGACGAACAACTCTGTGATGGAGTTATAGGTGTTATAATTGAGAAACTTGAAGACGAAAGTGAGGCGGATTTCAAACTCAGAAGATTCACCGAGCTATGTAAGAAAGTTGTTGACTTCGGTGTCCAAGTTCAGTTCCTTGACAGTGTTGTACAGAAGCTGCTGGAACCACGAAGATGTCTTCCACACGGGGTGCTCCTTCAGCCTCAAGATTCTGCAAGTGCTGCTGAATTGCTCTGGCAGCTCTCAAGTTTTGGGTTCAGTTTACTGTCCATCGATGATCAACAAGACAAGATTAAGCAAATCTCTAATAAAATTTCTGCTGAAGCTGTCAAAAGACAAAGACTTGCAGGAGAAAGTGAGGAAGATTTGAGACAGAAAACATTCACAATGTTATTCAATAAAGCTCCAGTCTCTACACGAGTTAATTTATTCGAGGAGTTAACGGACAAATTCTTTGGCGAAAGACGCTTGTGTGAGTCAATTCTTTTGTTCAGGCAACATGGTTCCAATGATCAACAAGAGAAGATTGAAGAAATGTTTGGCGACTCAGGGAGACTGGAAAGCAAGGATGCCAAAAATGTCATACTCGAGAAACTTGATGAGGAAAGTGAGGAGGATTTTAGGCTCAGAAGATTTATAAAGTTGTGTAGTACAGATACCTGCCTTTTGGATGTCTTCATGTCGGAGGAAGATGAGAAGAGGAATTCAAAAGGTCTACAGCTGCAGAAATCAGGTTATGAAGAGATAGACAAAATCAAACAGTTTCGATATGCTGAATTTTACATTGGTTTGTCAGTAATTTGGTTCAAAACACGATGCGCCAAACATCCAGGAAATCCCGTTGAAGTACTTGTTAGTAATGTTGGAGAAGGTGATCACGACGTTGAGAAACTCCAACATGAGACTGAGGAGGACTTCAGGCTCAGAAGATTTACAGAATCGTTTAAGCAGCTTGAATTCGGTTCCCACGAATATATCGTGGATTATATTAAAAGCACATTCGGTTCCCAGGAATATATCGTGGATAATATTAAAAGCACAATAGTTCATGATCTAGGTTACCACAATGATGAACCCCGTTTCAAGCTCCTGAGTGGACCGAGTCTCGGTCTGACTTCGGACGATGATGAAAGGCCTCCATTTTCTTTAGAATTCAGCATGGTGAAAAGTCCAAACCTAAGAGGAGGAGGAGTAGCAACGACTCAAGGAGGAGGAGGAGGAGGAGCAATTACCCAAGGAGGTGGAGATGGAGCAATTACACAAGGTGGACAGGGGACAAGTCAACAATAGATGATTTGCAACCATGTCATCATGGAAGAATCGTTCAAATAACTATATTTAGCATTTGACAAGTTTTTAAATGTAGTAGGATTATTTGTATGTCATCATTTCACGCCTTACATTGCATGTGATTGATGCTTGCGGTAGGACTCCTATGCTCCCTCACTTTCGCGTTTCCTCCTTACTGGTAATTACGCAAATTATGCACTGTGGAAATATCTGGTTGAACTTGTAACACCACGTTAGCTAGCTGAGTAGTGTTACGGTCCCAAATAATTTCTTGTCATAAGTTGTGCATCAAATCATCGACTTTGTAATTGCATTACAAGTTTAAAATCTAATTACACATATATAATCCATATGACCATGCTCTTATTTATGCCCATATGTTTGTCAACTCTGGAGATTATATATGATGTGTGATGGGAACTCTATGAAGATTTACAAGCATATTATAACTGAAGAAAGTTGAGGTTCCGCTATAAATCCAATTGACAATATGAAGAGTAGCCCAACTTATTTATAAGCTTATGCAATGTTTATTCTCCCATCAATGAACAACGCAATGATGTGAAGCGCATGTGGTCATTTGGCTTCACACGTGGGACATTTTATTCTAATACCATGAAGAAAGTTGAGATTCCACCATAAATCCAATTGGCAATTTAGGAAGTAGCTCAAATTACTTATAAGCTCATGCAAGTTCCACTTGTATTATAGTGTGGGTTTATCAATGTTGTCTACTCATATTATAACATGTAGAGTGGTTACATACCATATGAATGTGTTCCACTACCAATATAACTCGAAATTTTATAGCAAAAACAAGACGAATTATTTAAGATAGTTAATATTTGGGTAGTCAACAACTTTTATGGCCTTGTTTTGGTTGAGATTCATCCCACAACCGTATAGCTGAGGCTTTTCTGTATACACCTGATCTTCATCAGATTTTCCTTCAAATATAAAGAGAGAAAAATGCATCTGAATAATGTCTGTATGGAAGAAAACGGCAGTTGGTGAGCCCCATAACACTAGTACATTAAGGGTGCGTTTGGACTAACTTCAGGAACTAAGCTGAATTGGCTTGGCATGAACTAAGTAGTATAAGAATAATAAAGCGTTTGGTGCAGTGTCGGATTAACGGACTAAATTATTTTTAGATACAAATATTCCTTTTATTATTTTCTAGTTAATTTATTAGTATTTTATTATTATTCTCACAGCACAGCCGTTTATTCTCACAACAGCTTTTTTTCAAAGCACAGCAATACCAAACCAGCCCTTAGCCCATGCACGAAACAAATGTTGGACTAGACTAACTGGTAGTCCAATCTAGTCCAATGAAAGCTAGTGTGGCCAAACAAACGCCCCCTAATTGTTACGCCTTTCAATCTTTGAGTTCAATCGACTTTCTGTCATTGATCAAAGAAAGAAGACAGCAGAAATCCATAATAAACTAGTTGACCGAGCTGTTACACTACTCGAGCAACACCAGAATGAAAGTGAAGAGGACCTCCAACACAGAACCTTCACAGAGATATTCACGGGCTCTGGTGGCAAATGCACCTCGGATAGACTCTTGTCCGACCCTTCGGACAAGTTGGAGAGAGATTAAATGGTCGTCCAAGCCCTGGTTTTGGGCTCTAAAGTTGATGGACTAAAATCATGCGATTTTTGTGTAAATAAAAATTAATAGCCCCATTGCATATGGCTTATTTTTATTTATGGCCCAAACACACCTATGTTCCTTCCGTTTTTGTATTATTTTCGTAAAGATAATAAACTAGGATGATGCAAAACCTGAGTAACAATTTGTCCTTGCCAACTGATACAAAAAATTGCTTCAATCAGCCGAAATATATCTTCTTTTAGCCTCCATTGCATCGAATGACAACGCCTTCCTGCACCCTAAGTTTCTGCCTCAGACCACATCAACCTTGAACCTTGCTAATTGGCAGCATATTGAAATGAGTAAAATTTGAATGAAAATAATTTGGGCCTTATAGTATTTCATAATCCCTTGTAGTATGATTGGACATCAAAATTTACTCGTTTAGTTGGTAAAATATACTAGTAGGACATTGTTTGGAAGAAGTCTTTCTTCCTTTAACGGGTCATTACTTTACCTTTAACAATCATTCACTATCTTTATTATCATAACTTAGAAAAACAAATTAACAGTTCATCATAGAAATGTTACTTGTCACCATAATCGTAAATTTGTAACATCAATAGGTGAATGAATGGTCTCCAAGTTGAATTAATTTTTATAAAAAATGATTTTTAGATGTTCATATATAGGGGATGCAATTTCCAATTATATATGACATTTGTACGATAGAATTAGTCATGGCATTATTAAAAAAGAAATGACTTTTACATGTAACAAGTCCAAAACCAGTATTGTCATTAATACAATTGAATTAGTTTAATTTTTTTTTATCAGTTAGACTAGTTTAATTTACTCCCATGTCTAATCCACTACTCCTGTCCTGTGACCCCAGACCCAAACCCCGAAAGCCAAGCCTCGAGCCGAGGACACCAGCACCGATGAAGGATATAATTATCTTCCCAATCGAATGCAACCAATCCTACCTTTTCTTCCAATCATAGTCTCCAAATTAACATTGCGAAGAGCTTGCATGCAATTAGTAAGTTAAGATGTCACAAACTAATCACACGATGTCATATGAAATAGTTAAGACACATAGTGACGGGTGTGGATGCGAATTTATTCCTCTTGATCTTGGACAAAATTGCACCTACAAAACAATTAACACCTTAGGTCAAGGCCAAGATCGTCACGCGCCCACGATGAATGGGGGGCTTTGGCCGAAGAACCTCCGATGCCAAAGTTAGAATTTTGCGAGAAAAGTGTTTGAGAGCTTTGGAGAATTTTAGCAAGAGTCAGGACCTAGCTTTTTGGTGAGAATGAGAGCCTATTTATAGGGATAGGGTTCTTGATTTAGGTTGAATTTAGGAGTTATGGGAATAATTGACTAATTAATTTAGCAAATAAAATTATTGCCAAATTAACTAGCTAATTAATGTGATAAAATAGGTGAATATGATGAGATCAACAAGGGTGGCCGGCCATTTGGGATTTTTGGGTAGTGGGTTATGTAATGGGGGATTAATTGGCATAATGGGTCATTTAATTGGTGATTTAATGGATTAATTAGGAAATAAATCCATTAATTCACCAATTAATCTAATTTAAATGGAATGTTTGGAATGGTTACCTTGTGGAGTATATGGATGAAATAACTTTTATTTGTTACCTTCTTTAGGCATTTTTGACTTGGTTAACGGATGATTGCCCGCTGCTCGTGCGTAGGAATTCCGATATGCCTCAAGGGTATTTTTGTCCTCTTTTATCCAAAAATTCACGTGTCGCCTTATGAATATTTTTTGCTCCACAACAGGTGCCAGGCTTGGGACACCTGTCTCGGTTACATGCAAAGCTCTCACCCATATATGACCATGAGTATTGACGTGTGAGCTGAACAAAGAAGTTGAGGATTTCAAATGCTGTCTGAAGTATTATATCCCAGCTCAATCTTCTACTAATTGACTATATTTGAGTTAGGGCTTTCGTTAATTTTAGCTTAATATCCATTTTATCCTCATCAAATTTACTCATTGAACGAAAATAGTTACTCTTTCAATTCTTTCTGCGAAGTTTGAATACTTTTCACAGATCAATTCCAATATAATTACCAAGTCTTTTAGTCCTTAACTCCTGTTTAATGAATTTTACAGTCTCCTGAATATATACTTAGTCCACATGATCGTATAAGGATATAAATTATGTTTAACAGAGAGACGTTGAGGGCGGGGGATCAATGCAACTAAGGTTAAGGATTAGCACTGATTTAATTATAGAACAGGGTTAAGGTTGCGCACGCCATATTGCACTTATATCATATATTAAAAGATAAATGAAGCCATTAACTAAATTAATCAACTCACTTCCAGTCGATAGGCAAGTTATTATTATATTAATAATTAGTACATTAATTTCCAAATTCCTAGTCAAGCACACTAAGCACTACATAGAGGAAGATAACGATTTACATTAGCTTGGTTACTATCTACATAGTTCTAAATTGATTGCAGATTCACATATACAGGTTCATCCATTCCATGCCAGGAATGTAATTGTTTTGGGGCATGTAAAAAACATCATCATACTCTTCCACCCCAAATTCTCCTAAAAATGGAGGATCAATGGCTTCCATGGAGAACGAGGAACTCGGACTGTTGCTGGGGCCGCCATGATCAACGCGCTCCAACAGCCTTTGGATCTCCATCTCAGCCTCCGACAGTTGATCCTTGAGCTTCGACATCTTCATATCAATGGTGTCAAAGGTTATATTATGCATGAGACTATATAAATGTCAAGGTGTGTGTTTTTAAAATAGAACATGTACTCGATGTGGACCAAATGTGGTCACGTAATGTTCCCCAAATGAGTCATGGCGAGGCCCTAATGGGCCAACACCAACCACCTTAAACAACATTGTACGGACGTCCCATGAGAGCTGGAAGAACAGCCTTTGCTGTCTAATGAGGTGGCACCAAGCTGTTGCTTGTCCCTTTTTTTCCCCACTCTATGTTTTCTATGACCATAATCCGAGCAACTTGTATGGCAGGACCAACACCATGACAGTCTATTCGTACCCATACAAGTCCTACTCTCAAAACCCAACAAGGTGGCTTGAGCCTAGAACTCATGCACTTTCATGTTTGTGTCCATGAGGTGGCCCTGGTGGGTGCACCTTGTCCTTTTAATTTTGAACTTTTTTTTTCCTTTCCAAGGGATAAGATAAGAGTAAGCCATAACTGAGAGCCAACAACTTTGCTGTGATATTTTCTTGCAATTCCTTTTAGGGTTAAAAAAAAAGGTATTCATTCTTACATTCAAAATTTTGGTTTAGATTTTTCTCTTTACTATCGCTTGTATAAAAATGTGATAGCTCAAACTACTGAGTTAAATTTAATCATGGTCTACTTCTAACCCACCTTGATTGGTTTACCAAGAAATCAAATGAAACCTAAAATAGTAAAATTCATATCTTATGCTTCTGTTTGCTTTGAAACCTGAACAACATATTTAAGACTACAATCTTACAATGAAGTTGGAATATTTATATATCACTTCTCCTCGATTTCCTTAGAAAGTAAACTAAACCCAACAAAGTCAATGATGTAAAACTCACTCAAGCAAATAACATGTGCACAGAGAGAGAGAGAGATGAATTACCTCGGATTCAAGTCTACATTTCTCAGCAACAGTGTTTTCATGTTCTTTCTTTAAGGTTGAGTACTCTTCCTCCAACTTC